GGTGGGTGTGGAGATGGGTGAGCTGAGTAGGGGCCAGGCAGCTGAGTAGGGGCCAGGTGAGGGGCTGGGAGGGAGCGGCCAGTGAGGAGGTAGCACAGAGGACTGCGGCCGGCCGGTGGGAGGCCTTGCAGGGAAGGGCACTTTCGGCTCAGGCCTCTGGGTTCCTCCAGCGAGGCGGAGGACAACTTGAGCCAAGATCTTGCTGCCTCATCTGCACCACAAATGCTCCCGACTGGGCACAGAGGCACCTAGTGGGCTCCAGCCTTGGGACATCCCTGGGTTGTGGCTGCAGACCTCGGTGGAGGCTTTATTATATGCAGGTCGTCTGAGTGAGTGAGGGGCGCCTCCAAGGTATTTTAGTCAGTGTGTACAGGCGTGTATCACTATTGCTAGTGGAGCCCCTTTGTAAATAAGGCATTACTAATGCCCCATATGTGTACATTGCTACCACTAGCAAGAGGACTTTTAAAATATCCACTATATTGTTAATTGTCCTTGTATATATGTGTATGTGTATACATGTATGTAGATGGATAATTAACACTATAATATGCTTGTATATGTATATATATGGGTCCCCCAAAACTCCAGCATTTATTTATAAAATATTGCCATTTCACAAACATACTTCCATACTTGGAGTCAACCGCTCTTTATCGTTACCATTTTAAGCCTGTGCAGGGTATTCTGCAGTTGTGCTTTAGGTTATTTTCAGGTTGTTTTTTTTAATGTAGCAACACTCTAGGGAACCCATTCTTGCGTGTACCTTTAAAGATTATTAAATAGTATTTACTCAGGATGAATTCCTCAGGGAACTTCCATGATTGTTACATTTTTTCTTACATGTTTAAACTGCAGTCACCTTCAAAGCACGCTCTGATGCAACACACCTGTTGAGATGCTTTTTCCACTGCCCAGAATGGTTTTTGAGCTCATCCAGTTTGAGGCCTTTTAGTGCTGCTTCCGCTTTTTGTTTCACCTCTTCTGCGTCAGCAAAAGGTTTCCCATGCTGGGGATTAGGGTTTGCGGTACAAACTTTTGTCATCCAGGGAAACCAAAAAAAAGTCACTTGGGGTGAGATCGGGTGAATAGGGAGGTTGGGGCACAGGGGTATACTGCTTTGGGTCAGAAATGGCTGGCACTCAGTGTGGTGTGGGCGGGTGTGTCGTCATGGTGGAAGAGACAGTTACCTGTTGGCTTCCACAAATTGTGGCGTGACCTTCCTTCTCCAGACTTTGAGCTAAAACTTTGGCTGACTGACCTGGAGGAACAAAAACGCGTTTTAGCTTGCCTTTGCACAGAAAATGATGCCACGGTTTTCACCGGGGAGGAGGGAGTCCCAGGGCTCTCTATGTGCTGTGGTGACTGTGGTCAACATCACAAGCATGCAGCGTCATCATGTGCTGTGATCGCTCCGTTATGTCCCGGGCCTCACAGCGGGGAAATACCCAGTGATCGGGAAGCGTGTTTTTCCTTGAGGTTGAGGGCTCCCTCTTCTTGCCGCCAAAGACAGTGCGTGTCCAGAGTCTCATTTGGTCTCATCAAGAGAGTTGATGGTGGGGCAGAAGTTTCAAGGAATGTGAATTCAGAGCCCACATGGTGGGATGAGAGCAAGGTGGGGGAGGAGAGAATGGCAGCGAGCTCTCCTGTCCCTGCGGAGGGCACGGATCCTGTGGCGAGGGTTTCACTCTTGACCCAGTCACCTCCCGAAGGCCAAGTCTCCAGAGACCCTCGTGTTGGGCATTAGGGTTTGAGCATATGAATGGCAAAGGGGGAGGGATGAGATACAGACATTCAGGCGGTAGCAGAGTTAGACATATTTTGTGCCACTATTTTAATATATATACTAACGTCTCTTTTTCATTTCACAAGCATGCTTCCATACTTTGAGTTCACCATTCTTTATTATTATCATTTTAAGCCTATGCACAGTATTCTGCAGTTGTACTTTACTTTTCAAACTTGGATTAATGTTTAGGTTATTTTCAGGTTTTTTTTTTTTAATGTAGCTCACACTTTAGTGAACCCGTTCTTGCACGTAACTTTAAAGATTATTAAATAGTATTTATTTAGGATGAATTTCTCAGAGAACTTCCAAGATTAGTACATCAAAGGATGCTAACTTCATGGTTCTTAATTATTGTTATAATTACTTTCTAAAATATAATATTAGTTTGTAGCATCACCAGTTATACATGAATTTATCAATTTTTTCATACTCCCACCAGCGATTTTCATAGATGTTTAAATTATTTAATTTACCAAAAATTACTCTGCAGTTTTTCTGAATCTGTTTTGATGGATGGTATATAACCATTACCATTTAGGAAATAATTCTACCATTTTTATTTTGTTTGGAAAATCTACTTTGTCATGTTCAGCCTTTATGTATAAATTGGGTCTTTTTCCTGGAATTTCCATACTGATTTTTTTTGGTCATTTTCATTGCTTTTTTGGTAACAGATCTACACATCCACACATTGAAAAAGTGTTAGAAGGACTGAATGTGTGTCTGTGTCTTTATGGACAGAATGGCTTACTCAGGAGAGGACCAGGGTTGATTTCCATGTCATGCTGCGTTTTCTTGCTGTCTTTCTGAAGCGAAGCAGTTACAGACCTGAAACAGTGAGGCCTTGTTTCTAAATGATGTTACAGATTTGCAGAGACTCTTACTGTTCTCCAGAAGCATCAAGGTTTCTGAAATAGTTGTGTTAATTGTCCAGGTCTCCCAGTGGCATCAAAGCTGTATGCAGGCAGAGGCCCATTTCCCATGTCTCTGTGTGTTTCTTGGTTCCTAGTAAAACTCTGGGCCTAGTCACAACATTGTTTTAAACTGACTTGTTTTGCAGATACAGTGGAAGGCCTTGACGCCCAGATTGTAAATGGCTACATGGTTCATGACCAGGAAAGCAAGTCGGAGGTTCAGATTCCTTTCCCTCTGTCAGACAACAACCAGGTGCGAAGTGGACGCGCTTTCCATCATGGAAGATTTGTCATGAATCTCCGGAAGGCAGCCATGGCAGAGCCCAAGTAAGACCACAGCTGCAGACATATCATTGTGAAGAGTCAGCACATTTGAACTTGGCCTTTGTACAAATAATATTTTATACATTCAAAAAAAGATCTTATACATTTTTGTGAATGTTTTGGGCATAGTCTGCAACACAGGTGTACTAAGATAAACCTTGGGTTAGAAGAGTATTAGATTCAGTACCTCTATTAAAAGGTATCACATGGAGAATTCTCCTCTGACTAAAAATTCTGTGATCTTCATGTGATTGACCTTTAGAGGAATACTTTGTTGTAATAAAGGCATTAATCCATGCGTACCCATTTCGGAGTTAGGGTTTGTGGTTACGCTATCTTCTATGAAAGGTTAGGACAGAGGACTGCAAGGAGCAATCCCTGTTTCATTCTCACCGAGGACCTGGTCTCACAGGACTGACTTCTTCTCTTGATTAGTAACTTATATTTGCCCATAGCTTTTAAACATCGAAATTGAGGAAGCTGTAAACTTGTGATTGACGCAGACTTAAGTGTTGCCAAAGCAAGAGAAGAAGTAAGTGGACTTATCCTTAGGCCTCGAAGGATTTGATATCCATGGAAGAAAAGCATCTTCATTGTTTAAAAATGGGAGAGGCCCACCAAATGCAAAGAAGTTTATAAAAATAACCACTAATAATTTGGTGGATAAACTCCAATTCTTTTTCCCCCTTTGTGTATGAATGTGTGAGGGTATATAAAGTTTCTCTCTGTATTTTATTTTTTAATGAATTAAGATGACAATCTCAATTTCCCCCTTTATTTTAAAGGTTTGAGGTACAGGTCAGGATTAGGTAACTGAGTGGTTTTGCGCAAGTGAAGGTTGGGCCTCCAGCTGGTCCACACGTCCCCTGGTTTAGGATCAGGTGTCCTTAGTGATGTTGTGTGCCCCCCATCTAATGTTACTTTAAAAGATACTTTTTATTTTATTATTATTACTATGTTAGAGACGAGTTCTTGCTCTGTCTCCCAGGCTGGAGTGCTGTGGTGTGAACACAGCCCACTGTAACTTCAAACTCCTGGGCTCAAGCGATCTTTCCACCTCAGCCTCCGTAGCTAGGACTGCAGGCACATGCCACCATGCATGGCTGTTTTTTACGTTTTTTTGTACAGACAGGGCCTCATTGTGTTGCCTGGGCTAGTCCTGAGCTCCTGGCCTCAAGTGATCCTCCCGCCTCAGCCTCCCAAAGTGCTGGGATTTGAGCTACGGCACACAGTCTAAAATACTTTTAAATCTTTACATTAGGTGTTCATTTCTGCTTTTTGTCATTCCAGACCTTTTTCTTAATCAAGGTTTCACTCTGTCACACGGTCTAGAGTGCAGTGACACAATCATAGCTTACTGCAACCTCGACCTCCTAGGCTCAGGTGATTCTTCTACCTCAGCTTCCCGAGTAGCTGGGACTTCAGGTGTGCGCCACCACCTCCAGCTCATTTTTTGATTTTTTTGTAGTGGCAAGGTCTTGCTATGTTGCCTGGGCTGATCTTGAACTCCTAGGCTCAAGTGGTCCTTCCATCCTGGCCTCCCAAAGTATGGGATTACAGGCGTGAACCACGGTGCCTCGCTTCGTGCTTTTTCTGTGCACATGTATGTCCAGTGTATGTGGGCAAATAAACTGGAGAGAAGGAATAAGGGATTTATGGTGAGTTAAATTGCCCTAGCGAACTACTTTGGGAATTCATTTCTGTGTCTGTATTCTCCAGTACGAAGTTTATCGAAGGCACTGTGCTGCAGTTGGTCGAGGAAGACGACGTCGTAATGGGTGTTCAGTACAAGGACAGAGTGACTGGGGACATCAAGGTGAGGGTTGCCAAGTCGCCCAAGAGGCTCTTCCTTCCTCCCTTAGCCAGAATGCTGGGGGTTTTGGTTTGTTCAGATTTTAGGATGTCTGCATTGTGCTTACCTGGAGGCCTGGAATCCGAGTGATCCCTGAGCACTTTCTTGGAGTATCACGCGGTGCTCAAGAATGCCTGGGTTTCCCCCCACGCAGTTAGGGGGCAGCAAAGGGACCGCGTCCTCCCCAAGCCCTGGGGGTGGGAGGGGCTTCCACCCGCCACACCGTGCCCTTCAGAGCGCCTTGGAACACGGCGGCTCATGTGAGCAGCCTTCAAAGCTGCGGCGAGCGTCCACGTTGGCAGAGGCGCAGGGCGACCCGGAAGGCAAGGGGCAGGACCCGATGCGAACGGGGCGCTCGGGCCCCAGCTGGCCGCCGTCCGGGGCAGAGGGGCAGAAGTCGGGGATCTTCTTGAGGAGGACCCAGTCTTGCTCACGCTCACCTCTCTGCCGTAAAACACACACCGCTCTGGGCCGCCTCGTAGGGCCACCGCCTCCTAGAAACTGCGCTCCAGTGAGGGTGATCACAAGGTGTTCTCTGCGCTTAGTGTGGCGATATAAGTACACAGAGACAGCTGTACAGACGTTCTTCCAGGCTCTGGCCACTGATTAGAAACACTGTGTGCAGTTAGAAGACTGTAGAGTAAAAAGATCGGGCTCATCCTTGGGATTTGTGAGGTGATGGGTCATCTGTCACCCGTGCTTGCCTCGTGGTTGTTTCTGTATTGTCCATCAAGGCGGAGCCTAGTGACCCCAGATCACCTGGATGGGGGAGCCGGAAGGGGTGACCCTCGGCTCCAAGGAGCATCTCGGAAGGTCGACCACGCCGTGTCTTAGCCCACATGACCACACGGCAGGTGATTCAATGGCGTCACCTTCCATGACCTTCCATACTATTATCTGGCGAGAGATTTAAATCTGTTCACACACGTTCTTAAAGCATGGCCTCTCCATGTGTTTCTGACCACTGACCTGGGTGTTCTCTCTCTGTTACAGGAGCTCCGTGCCCCGTTGACTGTCGTTGCAGACGGACTTTTCTCCAAGTTCAGGAAGAGCCTGATCTCCAATAAAGTGTCTATTTCATCTCATTTTATTGGCTTTCTTATGACGGTACCGTAGGTGTTTTGAAATTACAGAAAAATAAAAGCAACTTGAAATCTGGACATTATTAACATATTCTACTTTACTTTTTTAGAACGCGCCACAGTTTAAAGCAAATCATGCTGAACTTATTTTAGCAAATCCGAGTCCAGTTCTCATCTACCAGATTTCATCCAGCGAAACACGAGTCCTTGTTGATGTTCGAGGAGAGATGCCAAGGAATTTGAGAGAATACATAGCTGAAAAAATTTACCCACAGATACCTGGTAAGAAGTAGCATTCTGCTCCCACTGTGATCTGCAGTCTGAGAGCAGATCTCATGAGAAGCTCTCGCCTTCAGTTCTCCTGGAGGCTGGGTCCAAGCAGGCCGGGGATGAAGTGGCAGGTGCAGCGTGCCGCCAGCCAGGTGGCCTGGAGAGGGGCAGAGCCAAGACAGGGTCCAGGCAGGAGGGCTTCCGGCTGTCGAGGGGATGTTAGCAATTAACGCACAGCTCTCAGAGTACTTAGTAATAATTAGTATTTTTAAGGTAGTCCAGACAGTAATTCAAGGACTCTGGATTCTTGAAATGCCTCTTAATATTTAACTGTCTCTGTGCTTGGTATGTGTAGTAATGGTAGCTATCATGTATTGAATGTTTGCTGTCAAGTGTTTAGCAACGTCATTTCATCTACACACCAGCCCTGTGAGGTAGCATTGTCATTGTTCCCATTTGACAAATGAGAGAACAAGGGTTCAGAGAGATTCTTTAGCTTCTCTGAGGAAGGACTGAGTGCCGGCAGAGCCAAGGTTAATGCCAGGTCTGTGTGGCTCACACATGCCTGCTCCAAGGTTCCTGTCCTCAGAACATGAAAAAAATTAAGTCAGAGGAACCCCTGCTTGTCAATTATGACATGATTACAGTACTAGGACACCATCCTTGGCAGTTTTTATCTTTCTTGGGTGTTTTCAAGGTTTTTTTGATGTTTTCAAGTCTGTTTTTAAACTAAGTGAGACTATTCTGTTTAATAGCTAACAAGTTATTAACAGACATGAAGTGAGCAAGTTTAGATTTTAATGACATTTTCAGCATATGCATATGGAAACATTTTCGTACATTTGCATTCAATTAAGCCACTTTTGAAGCTTTCAGATGGGAAAATTAGTTATACGTGTTTAGGAAAAGAATTGTCTGTTCTCTGATTTCTTTAGCATTTTTAAAACTGTACATTTGGTGTTTTTTCAATCTGGAGGTTAGTTGGAGCAGACTGCCCTGCAGTCACAGTGAGAAGCCGCTGGAGCTGTCTCTTATTCCTAGTTGGGCTACCAAGGTGCTGCGCCTTGTGTGCTGGAAAGTTTCCACAGGCGTTCTGAACGTCTGCTCCCAGATGACGCTGAAACCGAATGGTAGCTCATTTTTTTTTTTTTTTT